TTTTTTTTTAAACAGAGATGATACGTTTTCCAGTTGTAGTTTTTCTCTTTTTTTTAACCATTTAATAATCATTTTTATTTTTTATTTATTTTTTCTTTTTTTTCTGTCGAGGACTCCCAGTCAGATTTTTGAGAAAACGTACGAGGAATGATTAGGTGAGTGTAATGAGAGCACATCCATTATGAGCAATCGTTTTTAATAATAATTTTTTATTTTTATTTTATGATGGAAAACATGCCAAGTTTTGGGTTGCCAGTGAGGGAGTGGGTTGCATGTATATGTATCCCTTTCTTTTCTTTTCTTTTCTTTTCTTTTCTTTTCGATATTAAACTGATCAGAATGGATAGTCTACGTCATCGTCGCCAATAGGCCGTGAATGGCAGGTGTTTCCTACCTTCCCTTGTCTAAATAAAATGTTAAGGCATGGATGTCTGACATGAGGCAATGATGATGTGATGTGTTGCGATTTGTGCACGTTGACCTCACAATGGCAGGAGTGGGGAAACCGTTGCGAATGCAAACTCTATCCGGTGCTACTTCTACACGGACAGCGGACCATTGGATGCAACATGTGGGGACCAGTTTTACGCAAATAGGGGCCAGATGGCTGCCCGCACGTTCAATCGCGATATGAACTTATTCCGTGGAAGGTACATTGTTCTCAAGATCACAGGGGCAGAGCTATCAGCTGATGAGAGTACATTATGTGAAGGTACAAATTTCTTTCCGATTGACAGACGCTGTGTCGTCTTCAGAGTTGCATGATCTCTCACAAGGGGAAGCAGTCGGCGCGACTGTTCCCAATCAAGAGCATGGCAGGAAGGAGGAGGAAGGTGTCTTCAAGGCAAGGCTATATCTCCTGTGGCAAAAAATGATGCTCCATACAATGATGGTAACACCGCCGATATCTTCATCGTAAGGGTTTCATCTGCCAAGATAAGTCATCACTGGGTGATAGATGTGGTTCTCTGTTCTGTGCATGCCAAATACCAAAGGCAGGGAAGGGTGCAGACTGAAGCATGTGTTCCATCAATTGCCATCGATAGGAGTTGTGTACGCACTATTATATAATTATTAACTGTATGTCAGTGTATGAAAGTCCTGGGGGCATGGGGTGGGGGGGGAGGAGGAGAGAGA